AGAGTGTTTAGGGAGATATGAGGTTTCTCTCTTTGTGGGTGTAAAACTCACTACAACTCTTTGATATGCACTCACACTTCTTGTCTCACACACACCAACTTAGAGAGCATGCACTAATGCTTCTCATCACTTCTTCACTTGCACACACTCCATCTATTTATAGGAGTTGTTTTAGCTCATCTCAAGAGAGCATAAAACATACACTAGTGCTTAAGTTGGTAGTGCCTTAAAACAAGGTTTAGTGCCTTAAAACAAGGATTAGTGTAGTGCCATAAAACAAGGCTAAGTGCCTTAATTTGTGTAGTGCCATAAAACAAGGATTAGTGCATAATCATTGTTTTATTACATCTCCCACTCAACCACATAGGGTGTGATGACCTTGTTTTATTACACATATAAATTCCAGTGTCCTGATGGAAATTACCTGTACAATTGCTTGTGCACAAAGTTTCCCTGACAGAACAGCACCTTCCATTGAGGCTAAATACTTTTGTTTTGTATAATCACACGCTAAATAGAAACCCTCTACGGGAGATCTTTGCAAGGGACGGCAAGGTTCACAATCTGATACAGTTTTGTAAACCGACCTGAGACATAAATCAGTCATAATCAGTTAAAGCACAAACACCCATAACCAAGTCAACCACGGGAACGTCAGGCAGTGGCCCAACGGTCATGCCTCCTTATTCCTAGGGCATAGTTCTGGATTCAACTGCTTACGAAATGGCAATGGAACTCCTTATGCAGAGTAGTCCCGCCAAATCAACAAGTAAATAAATTAAAATCCAACACTTCCAAGTAAATTTGCTGCCCCGTAGTTTCCATTAAAGTTTTGCGTGAAAAATTAATAGCTAGAAATTACAAAATTAAATAGCTAGAAGTTTTGTGTGTACAAAGTCTTGAGCGACGAAGTGTTTTTCGTCGCGCAAAGTTTTTACAAAAATAAATAAAATAAAATAATTATTTTTTAAAATCTTTGTATGACGTAATCCAAATATTTCGTCGCCTAAACCAATTTATTTTTGTTTTTTTATTTTGTATGCATAACACTTAAGAGCATCTCCAACCGATATGTCAAAAGTGCCACATAGACATTTAACAGCTAGAAATAACATCTCACACACTCCAACCGATGTGTCAAAGCTGATGTAGAATGAAGGCTGAAGATTGAGATGTTATTTTTGACATCCCAAAAGCAAGATGTCAAATGAATATTTTATTATTTTTTCATTTCTATTTTTTTTAATTAAAAATAAATCAACACTAAAATGTAATAAAATAATAATTTAATTTGACATATCGGGTGGAGTGTAAAGTTTTGTAAGATGTCAAATTGCCACATCAGCCATCAAATTTAAATTTGATGTTTGGTATTTGACATCTCCCTTGGAGATGCTCTAAGAAATTAAACGGTATATTATTAAGTAGCTTTAAATTTATTATTTTAGTTCGGATCGGATTTTTGTTAGAAAAATATATTATTGTAGTTCAGATTGGGTTTTTGTTAGAAAATATATATTTTAAATTGACGATCGAATTGGTTCATTGTATTCATATAGGGTCAAGAAGTGTTGCTGTAAAAAATCATCAAAATCGAAATTGAAATAGCCGTTAAATCGTGATTTTTCATTTATAACCGTCGAAAAGTTTTGTCTTGTTACAAGATCTCTGAATGTTTGATTTTTGCGATTTTCGGGTATACGATCTCAAAGTATATACAAACAAGTTTGATGGTTGGATCGTTGAAACTAGTTTCGTAGAATGCGGATGCCATCAAAACAATATATTCACTAACAATTAAGAGTTTATTTATACTTTCGTTAAATATAACATAAGATTTTGTGGTATCCACTAGTGTAAATATTTTAAAGTGAAGATCAAATTCATTCATTGTATTCATATAGGGTCAAGGAGTGTAGCTGTAAAAAAATCATCAAAATCGAAGTTAAAATAACTGTTAAATTGTGAATTTTCATATATCACCGTCGAAAAGTTTTTTCCCGTTATTAGATCTCTGAATGTTTGTTTTTTGCGATTTTTGGGGTATATGATCTCGAAGTATATACAAACAAGTTTGACAGTTGGATCGTTGAATGGTGTGTGTGTGTATATATATATTTATTAAGTAGCTTTAAATTTATTTATTTTGTACGTATAGATAGGAAAGAGAAAATGAGGCTACTCAAATCCTTCCAATGTACAACTTTTGAAGTAAAAGTGGGTTCTAATTTATAAAAAAAATTAATTGAACATTCAAGTTTATCAAAACTCCAAACTTGGTTCATACCAATATAGTGATGGAATCTTTGAAATTTTGCCCATATCTATTTGAAACTGGTTTTGAGATCAACCACGATCAGTTTTGATATCAGTTGTTGTGACAAGCTATGCACCCAGAGATGATGACTTAGACACATGTGATAAGTTGTGTAGTGAAAAAAGATGACTTCTCATATTCATTGGAGTCTTGACCTATGCAATTATTGGCCCCATCCCATCTTTGAGATGCTATCTTAGCCTCATAGCTAAATTTTTTTTCAAATATTCATTACCCTTTGTGTGCATAACAAGAATTTCGTAATTTTTTTTTTGAAAAAAAACGAATATAACTGCAAATTTTAGCACGAATAAAGGAACAAGTGAAAAGCAGTCATGGGTTAACCAAGCTGGTTAGAGCAGATGTGCTCCCACTCCACAACCGAGTTTGAATCCCCTATTTGTAATTTAGATGAATTTAAAATAGAATATCGTTTGTATTAAGGAAAAAAGAAAAAGAAAAAAGGAAGGAGTAAAAATCCTCTCTAAATTTTGTGAGCCGTTTTAGTGAATGCACAGGAGCAAAGTCTGTGCACGTGTCAACAAGAAGCAGCTAAAGGAAGCGGCTCCGTCATCTGCTTCCTTTCCTTTCCTGTATTCTCTGGCGCCAAAATTCAAACACTATTCGAGACTACCATGAAAATGAGGAAGAAGAAGAAGCTTCGAATTCCGTAGTGTTTCCATCAACGTGCTCAGAGGGCCACAGATCCACGCTCTTACTCCGAACCAAGCAAGGCGGCTCCATCTGCTTGCTCTGCTTCTCCAACCTCATCTCCAATCGTCCACGTGTCCTACGCCCTCTCTCAGCTCTCTCAGGCCATCTCCTCCGACCCACCCCCTTCCTCCGCTCTCTCCTCGCCTTCCACCCTCACTTCCTCCTCTCGCTTCTCGTTCATGCTCTCTCTTCCTTCGACGACGACCCCATCGCACGACAAGTCGTCCATCTCATTTCCGCTCTCTGCGATTCAGCCGCTGCCTCGATCTCTGCTGACTTCGTCGCTAGGGTTTCCGACCGCCTCTCTTCTGGTGCCTTGGCCTGGAGTGGCCGTCAGCTTTATACGGTATTTCCACAATCCGCATCTCTCCATTCTCTCTTTGTTTGTCTGTGAATTCTGGAATTGCTGTTGAGACTTAGATAAACTTTTCCGGTTGTGATTTGTTTTCTGTTTGCTTCCTGAGAAAATGATTTGTGTTTCTCGGTAGCCAAACAGTGTATGACTTGTTACGGTTGGACGAATTTGGTGAAATTGAGCTTGATACTTCTACTGTTTCTCACTTTAAAATTCTGTTTGTTTGCGAATTCACATATCAATTTTAAGATTTGGATACATACTTTGGGTAATGTTATTCTGAATTTTTTTTTGGGAGTTTCACTAAAATACCCAAAATGGGGGCTGAAATTATAAAAATACCCAACACCCAAAACACTTTATAAACATACCCAAAACTCATCATTACACACACTCAAAACCCATTTATAAACATACCCAAAACCCATCATTACACACATACCCAAAACCCATTTTGGGTATGTTTCTATGTTTAAATAGTGCTTGGGTATTTTTATAAATACATGTCTAGGATTGGGTATTTTTATAAATATCTTTTTTTTTTTCCGAAGGTAATATTATTCTGATAGTTTTTTTTCTCATGGTACAACAATACTATAGTTGAAGGATTGCTAAATAAAACCTGAAATTGCCTTACTTATATTATAATGCAAAATAGGATGAGTTACTGTTGGTTGAGATCCTTGAATAGTTTGTCATGTTTCTTTGAAATTAGATTTCTCTACTCTATAAGTCAAAATGAAATTTGAGTGGGCAAGCTAGGCCTTGAGAGTGAGAAATGTGAGTCAACAGTCACTACATGGGGGTGATCAGATTTCTGACTCTCTTTTTTTAATGAACATCAGATTTCTTACTTGAAGCCATGACTTTCATATCCAAGTTTAATGGCTATGGTTTAGAGTCGACAATGAAATCTCAAAAATGATAAGCCTCTGTGCACCCACTGGCTTCTACTAACGAAACTTTTTTCAACAATATCTTTAACACTCACATCTAATTGATCTCAAAAGATATATATCCCTGCTAACAATTCTGCCATTCTTTAAATTTAGCTCACTGCTTGGGGGTTTTGTTAAACTGCTAGCAGACTCACATTAGAGACAAGTATGGCCTCATTAACAATCTTGTTGAAGGTCTTGAATTGTCAAGGTAACAAATAAAGAAAACTGAGAATAAACAATATTCCTTTAACACAGTAAAGATATTCAAGGAGAAATCCTGTTCGTTCTATACAAGGTATCTGCTCTCCAATACGCATCAGAGGTTGTGATGGAGCTGATTTTTTATTTGCCTTTTGCCCCAAGCTATTGCACTTGTCTCTAGAGGCCCTCATGAAGACCCAACGCAATGAAGTCCGCTTGAATTGTGTAGGTAAGTTTTCCACTTCTTTAATACTTTCTTTTTTGTGCTTTATAAGTGTGGTCCATTTTCCCTTATTTAAAGCACAGCTCAGCAAGATATGACTAGCATTTTGGTCAGCTTGTTATACCCCATGTGTTTCTATTTATTTAATTTTTCAGAGTAGGTTTTCTTTTTGGGCACATAGGCATATATAGATATCAAGCCTGCAAACGAACTCCCTAATTACACCACAATTGTTTCTTGTTGATGTCAGACCATATTTTAAGTGTGAAGTTGAAGGTCCTTGCAATTTCTTTCATATCATTACAAGATACTTTGCATCTTGAGTTTATTTAGAATCAAACGATAAAAACATTGCAGCTCCAAGTGCTTGAGTCCTTGACTAGAGAACTTAACGCCTGTAGCGGAAAAAATTATAATTTTAAACCTTTCAGGTAATATATAACTTTTTGGGGAAGTGATCCTGACATAGCATGGAATGCTCCCTATTTTACATGCACATTTCCCCATTGGTATCAGTCCTGTTTTCTTGCAACTAACAATTTCCATATTACTTGTCCAGCGTTCTTGACAGTGTTGGCTCAGACTCGGAGAGGACTTTTCGGGGCAGCATATGCAGTTGATTTAAATAGCATGAGTTCATCTGAAGGAGATAGCTTTGAGCAAGCAACATAAGATGGAAAAAATGCGAATCCAATGAATATATTGTTTACGGAGGCCATCAAAGGC